CAGTAGATCAGAAATGTCTTTGCCTTTTGAGTATGTTTTGGGGTTTTAACATGACAGTTTGGCATAGAAATCCCCCTTACAATAAAGGCAGTATGCCCGTGTGTCATTTCCAATAAATGGCTTCAACCATCCTTTATACTCAGGGTTTTATTCCCACTCCTTTCTGTATTTTTGAGAATACAATTTAGACTGTGCCATGATGTTTAGCTTGTCACAGAGATGTTTAGCTTGTCACAGAGAGGCACACACACAGTGGACGAGGTGATTGAGTGACTGAGGCTGTGTGAGGCAAAGCAAAGCAAAGGCAGTTATTTATTATAGTGTGAAAGTGAGTGAAGAAACATTTACATTCAACATTTAAATCCCGCTCAAAACCAGGACGGCTTGGCAGTTGGCACATGCGCAATTCATTTGCAGTCTCGACGCGGGGGAGTGTGGTTGTCTCCTCTCTGCTCTGACTGCAGCAGCAGCTCTGCTGCGGCCAGGCAACTGTCAGTCTGAGCGCCTGTGAGTACTATGGGAGGGAGGCGGGGCTCACGGCAGCACCCGCGGCTCGTTAACTGCAGAACAATGTGAGTCTCCAAACACCAGAAAAGGTTATCGCTAATAACCAGAGGTGTGGACTCGAGTCACATGACTTGGACTCGAGTCAGACTCGAGTCACACATTTTATGACTTGAGACTCGACTTGACAGCATCACAAAAGACTTGCGACTCGACTTGGACTTGAACACCAATGACTCGGGACTTGACTTGGACTTGAGCCTTCTGACTTGAGGTGACTTGCTACTTTAATTCAGAGGTCTCCAACACGCCGATCGCGAGCTGCCGCTAGAAGAGCAGACTCCCGTCGGGGAAAGCAGAATCTTCAGCCGCTCCTACTCTTGCTAGAATCCTTGCAGGCAGGGGCGGGTCTTTATTTAGCTGGGCCACCATGCGGCCAATCATATGCGAGGACACACTAGGATCATACCATTATGTGAAAGAAGGGTGGGGGCACAGCATGTGCAGAGCGACGGGGAGACGGGGAGCCGGATTTAAATGCAAGCGCGTCGGAAAAAGTCAAGAAATGAGCGAAAACCGAAAAAAGAAGCAGCATCTGGCTGCTTTTCAATGATATTGGAGAAAGCAAAGCTGAGTGCAGGATTTGTAAAAATGAAAATAACCTTCAGAGCAGGGTAAACACTCAGGATTTATTGTCAGAGGTGGGAGAAGTTCAGACAATTAAAAAAAGTTACAATCAGGGTTCCCGCGGGGTCTTAACAAGTCTTAAAATACATACATTTGATAATCAGAATTGAAGGCCTTAAAAAGGTCTTAAATATGATTCAGAAGGTCTTAAAAATTATCGGATTTGAAAGGTACTTCTATGTTGCGATAGCGTCTAAATGTGTTTTGGGGGAAATGTCCGGGCTGCAAAGTAACCAGTACGGTAATAGCCTTTCAAGTTCCCCCCAACAATTTGTATTGAATTAAATCAACATGGAACCAGTAATCACTAACTTTGTTTCCCCCGGCCCCTTGTTGGAGAACACCCAGCTAGTAACCTAGCAACCAAGCTTCAGCTCATGTAGCCTATCTTCGAATCTACTTACAAATAAATATGGGGAAGTGTAAGTTCAACCGTATTTGGTTGGAAAACATCTAATTTAGTGCTTGGTTGAAACCAGTGGAGGGAACGTGTTTGAAGCCCGTTGCACCTTTTGCAAAATAAATTAGTGTTTGTTTTGCTAGTGGAGCGTTAGCTAGTGCAGCAGCAGCTAATCCAGCGTTAGCTAGTGCAGCAGCAGCTAATCCAGCGTTAGCTAGTGCAGCAGCAGCTAATGCAGCAGCTCCCGCAACAACATCGGGGGACCTCCGGGCTAAGTTTGGGTCTACGTCAACCCTAAAAGTGGAGGTGCTGTAGACGCTAAATACCGTAGCTAAACACCAATCATACAACAGCAACGATGAAATAGTGTAGCCAAGGCAGCAGAGCTCTGAATATAGCTCTTGTCACTCTCTCTCTCTCACACACACACACACACACACACACACACACACACACACACACACACACACACACACACACACACACACACACACACACACACACACACACACACACAAGGGCTGCTCGATTATGGCAATAATCAAGATTATGTTGGTCAATAATTAATATCACGATTATTAAATATGATTATTCATTGACTTTGAAAACATCCATTTATTGAACTTTAAAACAGATAATAATTTGAACAATATCTTTTTAACTGTTGATTACCCTGAACGTATAATTCAACTGAAAAACCAATACAAAAATTAATTAAATAAATGATACATTACTAAAAAATTAATTAGATCAAATATGTTGTAGTGCACTGTCACAACCTAGCAAAGCAAAATAATCGTTTTTTACGATTATGTTGTTTTCGTAATTGTGGCAGGCCAAAATCGTAATTGCGATTAAAATATGATTAATTGCACAGCCCTAACACACACACACACACTCAAGCGCACACACATACACACACTTTTTGTCTAACACGCTAACACAGTTCTGTACTGTTACGCTGTTGTGTTCAGTCACTGTTCTTATGTTGAACATGAATACATTTACTTTGTAAGTGATTATGGGACGTATTTCTTCTTTATATACATTTTTCTTCATACTTTATTGCCGTGAAATAGGTCTTAAATTCTATTCAAAGTGGTCTTAAAAAGGTGTTAAAAAGTCTTAAATTTGAGTTGGCGAAACCTGCAGGAACCCTGTACAATAAAAAGTCCTGCATTCAAAATGTTACAAGTAAAAGTACAAAAGTATTAGCATCAAAATATACTTAAAGTACCACCTGCAGAGGGATCTAGATTCAGGTGTTCTTTTCCCCATAGAGACCGCCTCGCTGCACATTCCTTGCATAAAGATAGATTGTGGGTCCCTTATAACATGTTGTACACAGTAGAAATAAACATTCTTCATCAGGGATCTTATCCATTAAACTCCTTCTGAATCAAACCGTCACGGTAGCCTTACCTTACTGATCCCTCTTAAATTAGAAAAACACACGTTACTTTACCAGCAGAGAGAAAATGGATTATTAAATTATTAATGTGACTAATAAAGAGCAATTTGATTATTAAGTATTATTCTGTTGATCGATGTCATTACATTTGGTGAAAAACACATAATGACTTGTTTATGACTCGTTTTGTCAAAGTTTAGGACTTGACTTGACTTGAACTTGCCCATCCTGACTTGAGACTTGACTTGGACTTGCAAAACAATGACTTGAGACTTGACTCGGACTTGAGCGCAAAGACTTGAGACTTGACTCGGACTTGCAAAACAATGACTTGGTCCCACCTCTGCTAATAACACCATTATAAATCGCTAGATTAGTCGTTAGTCGCTTTTGACACAAATAAGTCGCCGGAGGGTTTGGAAATCCGCCAAATTTAACGAGAAAATCGCCAAGTTGGCAACACTGATGAGGACAGGCTGTAACTCCATCGCACGGTGCTGTCTGTCACTGGGAAACTGGGGCTGAACGGGGACATATGTTCACCTGACACACACAACAGAAACAGTAGAAGGCAATTGTAAGCCCTGTCCTCCTAGATACATCCTGCATAAATGAAGAGGTTTGTTTCCGTCCGTGTGTGTGTGTGTGTGTGTGTGTGTGTGTGTGTGTGTGCCCCAAACGTGTCTTCAGAATCAGGGAGAAAAAAATGCTCTGTGCAGTGAAGCAATCATAAATCCATAACCTCGACCTAGAAGTGTTTAGGCAGGAAAGCTGGATGTTGCAACTTCCTTAACGCCTCACTTACCTGATGGTAACTAGCCACTAGTGTAAGAAATACAAGTATATAAAATATGTGTGCCGGAATTGAAAATTAAACCTTGTTCTTTCAGAACGAGACGAAAAGTATTAAACGAGGTGAAAATCATTACACGTCTGGGCATGTTGAGAGCTGCTATTACACAAAAGGGGAGTTAGTCGGTTCCGTAAGAGCCAGCATGCGCAACCCAGTCTCACGGCATTTCGTGTAATAGTCACAAAATAAATGTAATCTATTGATTTGTGTTCACCAACACAATTTTCCCATTTTTTTCGTGTCAAACAGAACGATTTTAAAAGCAATGTATTGGTAGCTATGATTCGTGCCTGCACCACGTCTTTTTGTCCGGTCGGGTCTTGGAAGACCAGGAGCTGTGTGGTTCATAAAAACATTTTCCTACTCAATATCAAGCCACGATTATTGTTTTTATTTAAAATTGTATAATGTGTGACCTTTTCTTGTCGTCCGCGAGGAAAATAAATGGGGCTCAAAGCCTCAGAATACTGACATCTGTATATTCAATATTTTTTCCTTCTAATTTGATATTATTTACAATAATTTCTTGACTATAACACGAAATGCCGTGAGACTGGGTTGGCATGCGGGACCAGCTGTACAAGGTTTCGGTGAGTGTTAAACGAGTGTAATGTGCAAAGTTAATGTCAGCTAGCTAACATTAGTTTAGCAACTCGTTTTCTGTGTACCTTGTCCTTGCCAACACTAATGCTATCCACAGCATACACGCAGTTCTTAACTTGACTTCCGGCTTCACAGAGTTTCTTTGTTTATAGCCGTTAGCAAACAGTATGTTATGAATGAGATTATAAGGAGAGTGACCTGTGGCGTAACATATATAATTAAACACACAAAGTCTAATGCTCCTTATTGACGTTATTAATCACTCGCGGGAGACAAATCTAAGGATACGTCACCATGAAGCTGAGAGGAAGACACGGCCCTCGTTCATGCAACCAATAGAAGAAGATTACAGGATGATATATATGAGAGTGTGGGGAGACGCACTCTCTCTCTCTCTCTTCGATCACTGCTGTGAAACTTTTAGTAAAATCCACAACAACGCTACTTTATTAAATATTCTTAAAACTTCCTGAGGCGCCACCTTGTCTCCTTTTAAACGTAGGTGTTCTGTTACAGCTAAGTTTACTCTTGTTTGCATTTTCTGGGCTATTCTTTGTGTGCCTATTGTGCCTAGTCGTGGTCCCTTTAAGAATCAGGATGACATCATCAGATGGGTGTGTCAGGTGATCATTAGAGAGGAAATAGGCAACACATGGCTCTGTGAACAATGTGTTATTGTTTGTTAGAAATCCAGCTACATCTGCATAGGTCTTAATGCCTTTGATCGCATCGTATGTAAGTATTGTTTATGTTTGTGTTATTAACAATTACAGATGATTATTTTTAGGAAATATTGTATTCTGTGGTGTTTAATGCTGGAGATCTTCCGAGTTGTCTCAATATTGTACAAGGCTAATGCAATGAGAGTTAAATGTACAAATGGCTGATTATATGTTTAAAATATGATGCCATTTATAACTGTTTAAGTTCTAGAATTACAATAAATACATTAAAAAGCTTACAGTAAATATAACAAGGCAATTCAATTAATGTTAAAGCTGTGTTGATACATTGTGCATATTTGTGTATGTAGAAATGATCATAGAATTGATTATATTTTGTCTTGTTTATTTTTAGTTTCACACCTTCCTTATATCATTAAACCTGTGGGCAAAGGATTCACGTCTTCAGAGTCTTGGTGTACGGAGGGAGTTTATCTGGCTGTTAAGATATATACACTACATATACCGGGGACAGCACAGTGAAAATACGGCATTCTAGCGGGCAGGACAACGCAGTGTAAACTGGCAGACAATGACAGCATCTTCACATACAGCCACTGGATGACCGTCAAAACAGTGTCTAAAGAGAGGTACACTATCAGACGGTGCCATGACAGAAAAGGCTTCTTCGCTAAACACGCGCTCCCGTGTTTCAGGCTCCCAACTACGATCAAGAGCATCATCAACTGGGTCCGCTGCAGTCAGGGCACGAGCGAGAGCAGAAGCAGCTAAAGCACGTCTTTCCTACGCCGAAGAGGAAATTAATCTAAGGCTGGATAAAGCTAAATTGGAAGCATCTATGGAAATGCTCAACATACAGAAAGAGACAGCTGCGGCTATAGCTGAAGCAGAAGTATTTGAAGCTGCTGAGGATTTAGACATTGAGAAAGAAAGGAGTAAAAACTGTTTAAGCTCTGTATCATTGGAAGCAGCATTACGCACACAGCAATATGTTGCTGACCAAGCCAAAATAACGGAGGCTAAACCTCAACTAAGTGATCATTATGTACCAGCAAATACAAAGCCAAGTCCTGGCGACAGCATTTCACATTCACAGCTCAAACCAGAAGCCAAACCTTTCATTCTCCATCAAACCAATCCTGGATCCCAATCACCTCATCTTACCTCACAGCAGCCTGGCATCAACGGAGACGAGTGTGCTCGTGGTTCACGCAATGTAAAGTTTGAGAACAACCGTTGTACTCCTGGACAGTATTACAGGCCTCAAAACCATAGTGGTAATCCTTCCTCATCGCCCCATCCTATGTCTCCAAATTACAATCACAACGACTCAAACCTGAATGACTTTGTGAGATATTTTGCACGGCACAAGCTTCTTGCTACAGGTTTGCTTCAATTCAATGAAAAACCTCAGAATTACAGAGCATGGAAACGGTCTTTCCAGACCGCAACCCGGGGTTTAAACCTGACACCAAGTGAGGAGATGGATCTTCTGCACAGGTGGCTTGGTAACGAGGCAAGACAACATGTTGAACAGATAAGAGCAATACACATAAATCACCCTGAAGCAGGATTAGCAATGACATGGGACAGACTCGAGCGAACATATGGCTCACCAGAAGTCATTGAAGACGCTCTGTTCAAACGCATTGACACCTTTCCTAAAATAACAAATCAAGATTATTCCAAACTGACAAAGTTAAGTGATCTATTAATGGAACTTCAATCTGCCAAAGCAGAAGGAGACTTTCCTGGTCTCTCCTTCCTCGACACAGCCAGAGGCGTCAACCCAATAGTTCAGAAGCTTCCATTCGGTCTGCAGGAAAAGTGGGCATCAGTCGGTGCATCCTACAAGCGGCAAAATCTTGTCCACTATCCACCCTTTGACTTCTTCGTGAACTTTGTCAGCCAGGAGGCTATCATGAGGAATGATCCGAGCTTCAACTTCGCCTCCCACACAGACACAGCGAAACAGAATGATAAGACAGGTTGGAAACCAAACAAATATCGGGAGGTCTCTGTCCACAAAACAGAGATCTTCCCCGGAGTCGTTACTGAAACCGGTGAGCCCCCAAAGAGATCTGAGGACTTTGATAAAATGTGTCCGATACATGAAAAGCCACATCCACTCCGCAAATGTCGTACATTCCGAGCAAAGCCCATTGATGAGCGTAAGGCATTCCTAAAAGAGAATAATGTGTGCTTCAGATGCTGTTCTTCGTCATCACATTTCGCGAAGAACTGTAAAATGAAAATTCAATGTTTTGAATGCAAAAGTGAAAGACACCATACAGCACTTCACCCTGGACCAGCACCCTGGATGGAGGAGGTGGTCCCTCCTCCAGAGCATGGCGGGGAGGAGGAGAAAACTTCACCTCTTCCTCATGTCACCACCAAATGCACAAACGTCTGTGGCGGAGATCTGGCAGGTAGATCCTGCTCCAAAATATGTCTTGTAAATGTATATCCATCAGGCCACAAAGACAAAGCAATTAAACTGTATGCAATTTTGGACGAACAGAGCAACAGATCATTAGTTCGTTCACAGTTCTTTGAAATGTTCAGTGACCAAAGTCCGAGTGCTCCTTACACATTGAGAACATGTGCTGGAGTGAAGGAATCAGCAGGAAGAAGAGCCAGTGGCTATGAAGTTGAGTCTCTGGATGGAACTGTCCACATCCCATTACCCAGCCTCATAGAATGCAATGACATTCCTAACAACAGAAATGAGATCCCAACCCCTGATGTGGCTCTCAATCATGCACACCTCAAGTCAGTGGCGCACCTCATCTCAGACATTGAGCCACAAGCCCCTATCATGCTTCTCCTGGGTCGGGACGTTATCAGAGTTCATAAGGTTCGCAAACAGATAAATGGCTCACACAACCAGCCTTATGCTCAAAAGTTAGATCTGGGGTGAGTCATTGTAGGCAATGTTTGTCTAGAAAGCGTCAACAAACCATTGACGATCAACAGCTTCTACACGAAAACCACAGAACTAGAGTGTCCTATTCTCCAAGTCACTCAGGATTCAGATGGGAAAACCTCCTGTGATGCTGACCACCTTGGAAGTACTGTGCCCAATCTGGACCATTTGCCTTTTGTGCCGACAGATCAGAACCCCACAGATCATGCAACACGTTTGGTGGCTCCAGGTCATTTAAAAGACACTAACTGGCTGACTGGACCCAAGTTTCTGTCCAAGCCAAAGCCAAGTATCTCTGAGAGCACCTATGATCTTGTGGATCCGAGTCCAGACCCAGATATCCGGCTTCAAGTGTCTACTTTGAGCACTGCAACAGCTCACAAGCAGCTTGGTTCCCAGCGATCTACCAAGTCCTCTTTATGGGAGACACTCACTCCTTCTGTTACTCGCCTCTTGCACATCGCATGTGTGTTCAAGGCAACTCCAAAAAACAACAGCTATCGTAAGGGCTGGCATTGCTGCGAGGCAGAATTCACTGTTGAGGAATCCAATCAGGCCGCAGATATCATCATTCAAACATACAAGAAGTGGCAGTCAAATCAAGTACCAAGATATGAATGGCCTCTTCGACTGACAACACAGACTTTTCCTAACAAAAACGGGAAGTTGCATCAGGTCGAGGTGAAGGTCATCGAACCAGGAGGGACTTCGCTCTTTCTTAGGCCTGTTGCAGAGATGGTGCCTCTTCTCCCCCCAGATGGCTAGGTAATGGAAGTGTTCTAGATTTGGGTGACGTGTATCACGCCAGACGGGGAGTGTTCTGTTACAGCTAAGTTTACTCTTGTTTGCATTTTCTGGGCTATTCTTTGTGTGCCTAGTCGTGGTCCCTTTAAGAATCAGGATGACATCATCAGATGGGTGTGTCAGGTGATCATTAGAGAGGAAATAGGCAACACATGGCTCTGTGAACAATGTGTTATTGTTTGTTAGAAATCCAGCTACATCTGCATACGTCTTAATGCCTTTGATCGCATCGTATGTAAGTATTGTTTATGTTATTAACAATTACAGATGATTATTTTTAGGAAATATTGTATTCTGTGGTGTTTAATGCTGGAGATCTTCCGAGTTGTCTCAATATTGTACAAGGCTAATGCAATGAGAGTTAAATGTACAAATGGCTGATTATATGTTTAAAATATGATGCCATTTATAACTGTTTAAGTTCTAGAATTACAATAAATACATTAAAAAGCTTACAGTAAATATAACAAGGCAATTCAATTAATGTTAAAGCTGTGTTGATACATTGTGCATATTTGTGTATGTAGAAATGATCATAGAATTGATTATATTTTGTCTTGTTTATTTTTAGTTTCACACCTTCCTTATATCATTAAACCTGTGGGCAAAGGATTCACGTCTTCAGAGTCTCGGTTTACGGAGGGAGTTTATCTGGCTGTTAAGATATATACACTACATATACCGGGGACAGCACAGTAGGACTTTGGAAAAAAGAACACTTTCACTAGCCATGTGGAAGTGCTTACAGCATCCAGAACCTCTGTGCTCAGACTGCAGGCCTGTACTTCACCAGGATAATTGTATAATTCTAGTTATCAACACACAGCATAGTTTGCAGTAGGTCCAGAGGAGGACAACCTGAGTGATCCAGGATTTCATCCTTCAGCAGTATCTGCCCAGTCATCACGGTCCTGCAGCCCTTTAAGTCAGGCCAGATGGAACTTCACTTTAGATGGATGGACTCTTTCCCCGAATGGAACTCAGGAGCCTGATCGTCGTCGTCGCCTCCTCCTCCTCCTCCTCCTCCTCCTCCTCCTCCTCCTCCTCCTCCTCCTCCTCCTCCTCCTCCTCCTCCTCCTCCTCCTCCTCCTCCTCCTCCTCCTCCTCCTCCTCCTCCTCCTCCTCCTCCTCCTCCTCCTCCTCCTCCTCCTCCTCCTCCTCCTCCTCCTCCTCCTCCTCCTCCTCCTCCTCCTCCTCCTCCTGGTGGCTAGCCCCTCGTCCGTCTCCTGAACTCTGCGCCTCGGGCTGCGGCCCCGCGTCTCTCGGTGCCCGCTCTGCTCTTTCCGTTCTCCTCCCGAAACCCGCTCCTCAACCTCCTCCTCGTGATATTTGTCCTCGTACACCCGGACCTCGTCCCCGTACTCGAGCGCGTCCTCCTCTCTCCGAACCCCCTGCCCGCGGGGCTCGTCTTCTTCTTCCTCCTCCTCCTCGGACGAATTCGTAGAGTCCTGCGCAGTTGCGTTCGCGTATAGCTGTCCAAGGACCTCTCGAGCGGTGAGGAAACGCGCGGTCATTGCTCCCCGAGGCTAACGCGAAGCGTCTGCGCCCCGCCATGTTAGTACCGCACGGCGCATCCTTTTCGACCGAGGGGCCGGGTCGCTCGGACCCCGAGGGCGGCGGAGGGTTGCTGCGGCGCGCTAGGCTAGACGGGACTGGGTGGTAGTGGCTAAGGAGGGAGGAGGGTCGCTCGGGCCCATAGGGCGGCGGAGGGAAGCTGCGGAGAGCTAGGCTAGACGGGACGGGGTGGTGGTGAAGGAGGAGGATCGCTCGGACCCATAGTGCTAGACGGAGGGTCGCTCTGACCCGAGGGGCAACGGGAGGGTTAAGGATTGTTTGTCTGAAATGCTTAGAGTTACATTTTGCAATAATGCTTTTGCAACCCTGTGTTTAATATGATTAATTCACTTTTTTATTTTTCTCTGTAATTAGGACAATTCTGGAGAAATGGATCTGCGGGAGAAGAATCTGAAAAGTGCACAGCGGATCATCAGGATCGAGCTGCCATCCACCTGGACACCCCGAGGTGCTGGAGAAAGCAAAACGGCGATCAGGAACATCCTCCACCCAGACGTCTGCTTACTGCTGTCCTACAGACTTGTGTCTTAGTTTCAGAATTAGATTTTGTGTGTGTCCTTTCTTTTAATAGATATTTAACGATTATAGCTTGAGTCGGTCTGATTCCCCAAACAGCTGTTTCTATATACTTGCTGCACATATAATACAAATAAAGAACTCGATAAATACACTTTTGCTGATATTTGTTTTACTGCTGGTGAGTGGTGATGTTAAATAACATGATTGATTTCCTCTGTCTGTCTCAATGATGAAAGTTATAATAATAGAAGACATGAAGCTGCAGAGGATGGATATATTCTTACCTCTACTTTGTGATTAGATGAAAATACAAAATTAAATTAAAATAGTAATTGTTAAACACATTGTTTATTTCATTTACTGAGGTTTTAGCCATTATTTACTGTACAACATGTGTACATAAGCAGTGGAATAATAGGATATATCTAGGTCATTAATCTGTCTTAAGTTTAGTTTAATTGTATTAATACCAAAAATAGGTCATAGAACATGTTTAATTGTGTATTTCAGCAGAGCGGGGGGTCACGGTGGTGCTGGACCTGGAGGTGCTGACCTAGTGTCAGTGGGACATCATCTGGGCTGGTTTAGGGGAAGAAGGAGAATATAAATTTATAATCACAGCTATTAAGATTACAGGGTATATGCAGGAATCCTGAAGTCAAATGTAATACCTTTTAAGACCCTTTCCATACATTTTAAGACCTCATTGCCACTTTGAGTTTTAACCGGTTTACATTGGCGAAACACTTTACCTCACATTTACTATATACAGTATTGATTGTCCTTCCTCCTTATCTTCCAACCATTTGGACGCAAACTTGCATTTCCCCATAACGATGTTGCTTAACAACTGGCGTAAACGGAGCTTCGCGCTATCAAGCAGTGAGCGTGCAATGTCCTGTTCAGATGACGTCAAATCCAACGGGATGCCATAAATAAACTACACACCTACGCAATGATTACATTCAGGCAAACTTTACAATACAACCTCTTTGGACAGTTTATATACTTATTGAAAACAAGCTACAACATTTTATACCTTGGAAAATGCTGTTTAATACTTTTTAATAGCCTTAATTTTCGCTAAATTGATTGATCAACTTTTAATACTTTTTAAGACCCCGCGGACACCCTGGATTAGAACACTAATATTGTTAAGAATCAATCTATACAACATGCTTTTGTTCATTTATTAGTACATAAAAATTAAGACTTGATGTCAAGAGAGGTGGTGAAGTGATCATTATTGATTGAGCAGTATACTCTTTCACATTGAATCATAACAAGTCATACTGAATGTAAATGCAACTGACTCTAAAGTAAGTCCCAGTCTGTGACATTGGACATTTTGACTCAAAGTCCCATGCAGTAGGTAGAATATTAGCTAGTCTATGTAATGTGCACAGAAAATAAACAGTTAACTGAATACTGGGATGGAAATTGCCTATAAGCACTCAGTAAAACATAAACACACACAAAAAGCTTCTGAATGATAAGAAGTATAATTAAAACATAATGCACATTACCATTTTGAGAGAGTAGCCTCCCGAAGTTAAAGAACTCAGAAAATAATCTCTTATCGAACTGAGGCTCCAGTAAAACACACTGACTGCGTCTCTACATGGGCATCAGTAAGCCGTTTATGAGTATTATCCCGGTTATGATCATATTGGGGATATGGTGTTTACATGAGCACAGAGAGATCGGGTCATTCATGTTCCCTGTTTACATGATAAATACTAGTAACCTGGCATTTCGATGTCTTTTCTCATCTAAACTATTCAGTATTTGTGTCTCTCTATCATGACATAAAGACGAAACTCCTCTCCAGAAGTGAGACGCCACCGCAGCCATCACTGCTAACCAGTGGCAAACCGTGGCCATCACAACTGGACCTTCTGTAGAGACACCCAGCAACGCCCGCCGCCGCCCCCCCCCCCCCCCCCCCCCCCCCCCTCCGCGGCATTATAATGTCCGTCTTTTCACTGAATTGTCGTCTTGAAAAGGGTACTCATAACAATTCCGCAACAACTTCATCTTCACCTGTTGCACTTGTCATTTCAACGTTCAAAACAATAAAATGGCATGAATTGCTTCGTCGCATTCATCTAGATCAGGGGTGGGGAACCTTTTTCCTCTCAAGGGCCATTTCAATTTTTTAAACATCCTCCGAGGGCCGTACAAATTATTGACGTCTGCTTAAAAATACTAAAATCACAGCCCATTCATTTGGCATTTCTTTCATGCTGTGCAAAGAAAAAGCAACCTCTTAATCCAGATATTGCACGGTTGTGGCATGACCACCAAAACAGAAAGATATGGACACAAGATGTGTGCAATTTAGTTTCCGATCCATGTGAACATGATTTAAGTGGGGGGGACCTAACCTCCTATACGAAAGTCCGGGGGCATGTTCCCCCGGGAAGATTTTTTTTTAAATATTGAAGTTAAAAGCATACATCTGATGCACTTTGAGAGCAACACTAGGAGATCTATGGATACATCTCTCAACAACACCCATATGAAACAGAACTGGAAGCAGATTTTCTTTTTCTTTATGGATATTTTACAAATCACTCCCCTTTCAAACTGTATTCTTGTTTATTAATAACAACTTTTTTTTACTGTCATATAGTATTTTATACCCGTTTACTGTATTCTCTTATTTTTTTATAACTATAATGATCATATAAAGATGTGCCTTTACCTCACTGGTTGGAGAAAAAGCTTCTTATATTCGTTAGCATATCTAGCTAACCAGATGCTAATATAACAACAAAGTTATTGACTGTATGATCAGTATGACAGATGAACAGATCGCACTGGGCTTTCAACTAAAGACACAGCCACGCAAAAACTGCGGCATGTGTACGGCTCCTTATGGGTACTGACATTTGTGAAGTCCCGGCCTGGAGCGGCGTTCTGGTGCTCTGCTCTCCGGCAGCTCTAAACCCCTGTCGGACGAGACATATACCACGTGATGACACGTTAGGCTCGTGTTGTGTTCAAGGACCCTGACCTTGGCCAGGAAAACAGGCACTCGCTTGTTTAATTATTTTGCGGTCTAGATTTCTTAATTTTTTTTCTTTTTTGCGTTACTTCGAGGGCCGTATCAAATTGTCTCGCGGGCCGTATTCGGCCCGGGGGCCGGAGGTTCCCCACCCCTGATCTAGATCCTCTGCCTCGAGCCAGTTAACTAGCGGGCCTTCTAGAATACCCTGGAACCGAGGGGAACTCTGAAATAATACGCCCATTGGCTACAAATCAATATATGATTGGTTGATCAAACTGTCAGTCCAAACGTACGCTCTCATTCAGTGCAACGGCCAGGGGCCTCATTTATAAAGCGATATACGCTCAAAAAATGGCGTACGCCAGTTTTTACGATTTATAAAATACTAACTTGATGGGAAAACGTGCGGTCCTCCACGCAAACTCTAACCCATGCGTACGCACTAAGCACAACAACGGGAGAGACGAGAAACTGTGACACCGTTGGCAGAAGGAAGAATGGAGAGAAATATGTGGAAATAATACCATAAATAAAATGTTGCCTCTCATTTATCATGAAGAATTCATTTTCAAACTTTGATTAAAGCCAATCTTAAAATGATTAAACAAACGCCTGTTTGAGACTCCTCAGTGCACACAAAAACATAACTTGGAGAAATAAATAAATACGGAAATGTTATTGAAAACCACCTCGAATATGTTGTGTTAATGTTATGAAATGTTTTCTCATAAATTATGCGGTAAGCAGGAGGACAGCATTACTTTAAACTGACGCCGTGTTGCATTTCTATAGGTTGTAGATACGAGCATGGTTTTATATACCATCACGTTTAATCGTGTTTTATGCCGTTTGCCAAGACTTGATAAGTCGCTCGTAAAACACAGGAGGTATGGAAGCTAAGAACACCATATATGGTAAATTGTACAGCTAATATAACACAACACATTAGTTGTATTTCCTTTAACTGGTGGATATAGGGTTGCTGGGGGGGACGCACAGGCTGCAGTGGAGATGCTGGGCTTGGCTGATCGACAGCTGGAACACAAACCACCAAATACAAAAACATAATTCAGATCCAGTCGGAGGGATTCCCCGATCACTTCTTACAGTCTCTCATCAAGGGGGGGTCTCCTGTCCCCGGTACAAACACACTGCCTGAGGAAGGCTATGTGTATTGTTTTTGTCATTAACCTTTTACGGGCCATTTATTTATTTATTTTGGTGACGATCCGACCTCCATGCTGCTACTCTGGTTCAAACTGCATCCACCAAACAATATGATTTATCTCCACCTCCCCACCATAATCCACATCTGACACGGTGTGAGATGTCTTTTTTAGCTGTTCTGTCGTCATTTCCTGCGATCTTCTTCATAAAGTCAGTCAGAATGAATGAATGAATGGGCGTTTCTTTGACTATTTATAGGCAAATATGGGCGTTACGTGAAGCCTGCAAAAGCTGCACCGCATTTCGAGTCGGTTGTGATTTATAAAGGGAAACCGGCGTAGGAAGTGCCATACGCACTTTCCTTGCCGGTACGCAATGTTTGGTGAATCGGGAAGTGGCGGAAAATGTATGGACCTATTTTTCGGATTTCTACTACGTAAGCAATCTTCCCACGTGAATCCTACGCACAGCATTATACATGAGGCCCCAAGGCATTCGATCAAGAATACCTTGGTTGAAGGATATTCTACCCAGAGACCCAGAACGAGATCTGATTGGTTGCTTTCTTTTCTAACACAACACCACTGAAACGCGTAGTGCATGGTCCGAGAAGGACAAACAAATCAATGTAACACTGTGATATTACAGATCAACAACACAGATACGATCCTCATTTATTCATGTTATATATATAATTAAATCGATTGTTTGTTTGTTTTATCTGAGTGTTCCAAGGTATTCTCTGAATACCTTGAAGGCCCTGACGGTTCGCCACTGCTGCTAACTGATTAACTGCTACCAGCTGATGACTTACTTTCCTCTTCTTTGAAACTGTTAACTGTGTTCTTATTCTCAGCGTCCAGGAAAGAGAAACTTAAAAAGGAGACTAAATGGAGTCTCTGGAGGTTCAAAATTGGTACTTTAATAATAAAAAGGCTCGGTAAAGTCACAAACAGGATATTGTTCGGT